AACCGCTCTAATAACCTCCACAATTCTACTTCACTAACCCCCAAAACAATTTCAATAAATCCATAATAACGCTGTAATAACCCTTAAATAACACTGCGCGAATAATCAATCCAATAACTTATCAGGCCAACTTCATTAACCCAACAAAACAATTACAATAACGCGGCAATAACCCCCAAGTAATACTGCGTGGTGAACCACTCCAAGAACCCCCTAATAACGCAACAATAACTCCTCAATAATATCGCGCGGCGAACCGCTCCAATAATAACCTCAACTATTCACCCCCACACATCAACTCCAATAAGTTTTCATTAGCACAAAAATAACATTGTGTAAAAAACCGATTTAATAATACCGCGCAATGAACCGATTCTATAACGCCACGATATTGCTTCAATAATCCTCGCATGACAATTCCAATAAACTAGTCAATAACGTTGTAATAACCCCTAATTATATCGCTCGGTGAACTGCTCCAGCAACCCTCAATGTGCGGGCAGAGGAAATAATATAAAGCTACAATGTGACTAGTGTATACTTTTATTAGAGGAATAAGAGGGGAAGTGAAATAAGATTATTGGAACGGTTCATCATGCAATATTATTTGAGATTATTGTGATATTATTAAAATAATTATTAAAATTATCTTGTGAATTATTGAAGTGAAATCTTGAAAGTTATTCCACCCTTAACGATTTTTATGAGATGAGTCTAATGTAACGCTTGCATATTACTGTGGTCCTCAGTCTCAGTACGCAGTCCGCACTAAAAATTTTCCCCCGATTGCCTTCGTGACCGATCCCTCGCGCTGCAATCGGGAACGCGGCTTTCAGAGACGTGAAATCTTGAAAGTTATTCCACCCTTACGATTTTTATGAGATGAGTCTTATGTAACGCTTGCATATTACTGTGGTCCTCAGTTTCGGTACGCAGTCCGCACTAAAAATTTTCCCCCGATACCCTCGCATGTCCGTCCCGCTCTCTCTGTTTTGTCTAAGTTTTGTCTAAAAAAACCATTGCCTTCGTGACCGAACCCTCGCGCTGCAATCGGGAACGCGGCTTTCAGAGACCCGAAACTCCCATTTTTCTCCTCCTTCCGCAACTCTCCTACCCGAAACCCGCTACAATCGGTAACTTCATGTCTTCTTTTTCACGCGAAGCGTCCGTCCCGGATTTAGGGATTTAGTAAATCCAGGATTTGAGGCCAAAATCTGTGAAATCTGGATTTATCAAATCCGCGTCTTCATTTTGTCTAAAATTACCGTCTTGCAGGATTTAGGTTAAATTTTGCTCTAAATCCGTTACCAGAGGCCCGAAGCCTCCAAAATTTCGGCAACTCGCATCAAAATAGTTCCGCACTTCCGCGGAAGGCGGGGCACTAACCTATCTTCGAGCCCCAGCTCCCAGCCCTAGTAGGTGCGAAGCTTTACTGCCTTCTCTCTTTCTTTTGTTTCAGGGATCAGTTTTCGTCATGGATCGTGTGATCCTTGACGGTCTGTGCAACTGCATATGCACAATATGTTGTTTTTTTCTTCATTTCCGATGATTCTGATTATAAACAGTGTTTCTGTTTGAGATAGGTAGCAATCTGAGGGAGTTACTCATCTAGAAGTCGACCTTTGATTTTCTTTTGTTTTTTCTGGTTTCAGAAGATGGGTTACATTGGGCAACATGGGATCGCGGCGCTCCACAAATATAAGTATAGCGGCGTTGACAATTCTCTGGTTGCGAAGTATATATTGCAACCATTTTGGGGTCGGTTCGTCAATATATTTCCGCTTTGGGTGCCGTAAGTGCTCTGTGCTCAATGAACATAAAAACATTTTAAATTAGTAAAAAGTATGTTTATTTTCCATTTTCCAGGTACCTTTTCATTATCCTATGCGTGCTCTAACTTGGATTTTAGAGAAACAGCTTTTATTTATAAATAAATCATACATGTTGACTGATACGTTGGGTTAAAAAAACCATATGTTGATCTTTAGTTAGAGTTTAACTATTAATTTCTTGGTTCTGTTTTTTTTGCCTATCTTTTATAGATTGTCGATGTGTGCATCCTAGTAGGCCAAATTTAACAACCTTTAGGGCACTAGGGCATGCAGCCGATATATATTTTTTAAATTTTCTATTTTTTTATGCATTAGAGTCTGTGAATGTTGTGTTGGACAAGAGTGGTACATTGTGGAATAATGGATGAAACTTTTCATTCAGATTTTGCTTTTTTGAAGAAATTTAAAATTTGAGGTAATCATGATTTAAAAACTTGATATTTGATGGACTATTTTCAACAATGATCATGTTGTCATTAGCAAACATACCAACATCAGTGAGCAGGCCAAAAATTTAGATAACGAACCCATGGAAGGGAAAAGTTGATATTCAACATGATTTATTGTTTGTTGTTTAATTGCCTCATCATTTTTTGCTGCCATTTTCACTTCATAAACTTGTTGAAACAAATGTTGTACGTTACCTGTGTTATAAGTTGTAGTGTTTCATGAAAGAATCATAATCACCCATGACATCTACTCTGCCATTTCTGTCCTCTATATTGAATTTGCAATGATTGGATAATGTTTTTGAGAAGATTGTAATTTATGATTGATTCCTTTTTGCTTTAATCTTGATGTTCATTTTGGTTAAGTGATAGTAAAAACACCTAAGCTTTATGGGGAAGCATTAATTATGATTGTGTACGATGAACACATTAAGTAATAACAATGATATGAACACTTTACAGAGACACATAGGTTTATGTGGTTTGGCTAATTAAGCCAACTTTTAGCTGAGCGAAGAAAGAGGGTTAAATCTTTTAAAAACTTGCTACATTGATTTATAGATTAAAAGGGACATAATAAAGCACTGTTCTCAACCCAAATACACCCAATGTCTATGGAGAGTAAATTTGAAATATTTCAATCCAAATAGAACAATGAATAACTCCAAGTAAATAGTTAACAAAGGGGATATGACTAATACTAGAAATCACCTTTAAAATAGTTTTTCATAATTCTATCTCTTTGCATAGACGTGGAACTAATGTAAAAGTTATAGCTAAATTATGCTTCCACCGTGTCAAAATTAGAAATTCATGGTCTCTAGTTTGTTTTCCTATCCTGGTCAATTCTTTTTAACCACCTGCATACATAACCCAAGGGCAACTCATACATATACCTGTCTGTTTTGTAATTAATATCTAAGGAGGTGACTTCAGTGTAAATTATTCTAAAATTGTTTAGAATCATCCAAAATAGTTAAATATGTAGCAAAACTGCAAACCTGATTTTATCCCTAAAGTAGATACTTTTTTTTTTCATAAACAACCAACCTTTTTTTAATTATCTTTGTAGCTTATTGAGCCAAAATCCTAATAGGACATTGCATGTTATATGCATTTTATTGTAAGTTTAATTTGTTTATGATTTTGAAATGTTTTGCTACCTGAGAGATATTAGTATGTTATTTTTCATTCGGTGTGAGATAGTCATTTGCTTGCTTATTTTTTTTTCTGAAAATTTAACCTTATACATTACATGCCTCTGATGTGCTTTTTTGTGTTCTTGGTCTTGCCGTGCGTATGGACTCCAGACCAAACATGGTATGAACAATTCATTCCCATCATAATTTTGTTTTTCGCTCCTTTTTTGACTGATGGAATTATGGCATCATTAATTTCTTTGCAGATAACACTTACAGGCTTTGTGTTTGTGCTCTTCTCAGCATTTCTTGGCTATGTAAGTGCTGAGTATCATGATGGATTGATTAGCATTCTTAATTAGTCTATTTTCTATTTTTATACACTTTGTTGAGTGCATATTTTGTACTTTAATACTTTTTCATTGCTTGAGTACCAACTCTCTTTCATAAACAAGCACCTTATCAGTGTTGTCTCATTTAGAGTTATACAAGAGCCTGCTATCATGACTAAAAGCTACGCATCATGTTGTTAATATGTTTAGTTCCATGAAAAATTTATGCTGGCTTTTTATGGTCTATAGTGTATGAACATTTTTGTGCCTTTGCTACCCTGCACTCTAAAGCTTTTGTTTGGGCTACCGTAGGTCTTACTCTTCAGAAGCAAAACTATTGGTACCTTAACTTGTTGTCCTTACAAAAGAAGCCCTATTGAAGCTTTTTTCTTGGTCGTGCAACCCATTTTCATTATTATTGTTTTTTCCCTCACATGCTTCTTTACTCTGTGATTTGTGAAAGGAGATGTTTCTGTGTTGATTGGGTGCTCCTTAGAATATTCATTTATTGTTTGAAGTTTTCTCTAATTTTTTTCTTCGAGTAGGTTGGTTTTTCATGAATTTTCTACTGTCTCCTTTGCGTGCCACTGTTATTAGCACTGTTCACACTATGATTTCTCATGATTTCTTCCTTTCTTCTCCTTCAGCATCAGGGTTTTGATAGGACAAAGCAAAATTTTTGGTTTTTAGCATGCGATGGATATTGTTTGCTCACATTACCCTAGTTTCATTCTTGCATGACTTTAAAGATGTCACAAATAGATGGGAGAGGTTTTCTATTTGAAACTTTTTCTTTTTTACTACATCTAGAATGTTGTTTATTCCAACAAGAAACATGTTGGCACTGTCATTCCTCTCTCTTGTTTTTGAATCTTGCACAATCATTTGGATTCTCTCACATAACTTTATAACATTGATCCAAAATTTGCCATAATGTCACATCTTCTTATCATATAAAATGGCGACACAACACTCCTTATTTTGATTGCTAGAATTTTGACGTAAGTTCAAAATATGACTACTTTTCTATAATGGAACAAGCTTCATGAGCTGCTTCCCAAATATTTTTTTAGGTTGGTAGGATCATGCAGTCTTTTGCAAACCTTCCCTCCATCAAAATTAGCTACCAAGCCACGACTAATGAGTTTTTTGATATTCATGTAGGGAATGTTGGATCATGTATGGCTCGTTTCTTGACTTTGTAGGCTCTGTAGAGTAACTCTTTCTTTCCATCAACGGCTTATCTGATTAATTGGGACTAATATTATATTTATTACGATTCAATTTATGAGTGATTATTTAGATAAATGCTATAAAGAGTGGTTTTTTAGATAGAAGTGTTATGAAGGGTGGTTTTTTGCTAAGATGTTCTAGGCAGTACCCATAGAGGAAGGAGAATAAGTTTTACTGTTGGTCATGGCGACCCTTGGTTCTGCTGTCTATGCCATTTGAATGTTTGAGATATGGCTATTTTCTTATTTAATGAACAACATTGCACACATTTTATAGGATTGCTTGATACCTTTCACAATCAATTTATTGATAACTTTCCAAAAAGACAAGATTCAAATATGAAGTTTATACAATTAGGATCTCCTAATTAATGGTGACATCTTTTCCTTAATTTCTTTACAAGAAAGCTGGCCCTGAAGCTGCAAATTTCTTTCCTTTTATTACTACAGTTGGCTCATAATAGATCCCTTCCATTTTTGTTTTAGTTCTTCTAGCTAGGGGTGTAAACGAACCGAACACGAACGAACAAAGCTTGTGTTCGTGTTCGGTTCGTTTAAAATTTAGTTTGTTTGAAATAAGCTCGTGTTCGTTTCTTAACGAACGAGCCGAACACGAACCGAACACGAGCTGAAACAGCTCTGGTTCTGTTTTAACAGAACGAGCCGAACGCGAACCGAACACGAGCTGTTCGCGAACGATAAGCCAATTTGACATCCCTAATATTAATATATAAAAATAATATTATATATTAATTATATAACTTATATTATATAAATATACAATATCTATATTAGTATATTATTACTATAGTATATTAATATATTATTATTATTATTTTATTATATATTATAATTTATAAAATTTAATATTTTAAAATATAATAAATTTTTTATATATAATTATTTTATATTATTTTATATTTCAAACAATAACAATTCGAACACGAACGAACGCATCACTGTTCCTGTTTGGTTCGTTTAACTAACCGAACGAAAAAAAATTGTTCGCGTTTGTCTCGTTTACTTATCGAACGAATCGAACACGAACTCATTGACGAACCGAACACGAACTGTTCGCGAACAACGAGTTTTTTTGACAACCCTACTTCTAGCAACTCTAGGATTTCCATTAATTATTTTCTCGCTCTAGCAACTCTAGGATTTCCATTAATTATTTTCTCATTCACTATCCAATAATTTGTGTTGCATATTCTTTGCTTTCTATTTGAGCTTCATGTTATTGACGCGGGCATATACTAATGTATTGAAAGTTGTTCTATTTTTCTAGCTTTATTCCTGATGCATTTCTTTTGCATATCACTACTTATTCTTATTGATATTGTAGCACCACCTTGTACTAAACACGTTATATATAAACTTTTTATATACTTATGCGATATTGTTTATTCAGCGAGTTTCCTACCTCCATATAGGTGAAGTGGGGTTGCGGGCCATGCACTTTTTTTGCCGCTTAACGAGACCCATTATTCTTGCAGGTATATTCTCCACATTTAGATACGGCACCCCCTCGTTGGGTTCACTTTGCTCATGGGATGCTTCTTTTCTTATACCAGGTTTGTTCAAGCTTATTTAAGGTTTATGGTAAGCCAAGTACTTATTATACATGTCATGCATTTGATCTGGCCTTGAATTTTTAATTCTCGTGGTTGCTTTAATGTTAAGACAGTGCAGATGCTTATTTCTGAGAATGTATGCATGGTTTTCTATTACTAGTGGTATCTCATGAAAATTAAATATAGTTGAAAATAATATATATTTCTAATACATTTATTTGAGGTATGAGTGATCAATCATTATTAGATGCCTTGATAGAACCATAGAAGCAAAGGCAACTATAATTTGCTTGAGATTATCTACACTTGAGGCTGGGTCCTTGCATGAAGATCAGGTTGATAGATAATTTGTCTGTCTCGTTTGCTATCATGTTGCTAATGATTTTTTGCTTAGGGAGATGAGTATTATATGATTACTAATGAATTCTTGCCATTAGGGTGTTGTAGAAGTTCGTGGATGTGCGATTGTGATGCCAGGTCTAGGCATGTTAAATCATTGTATTTCTGGAGGTGCTTATTTATAGACCCATTTGTTTTCTTGCTTTTTCTATGTATTTAATTCCTAATTGTTTGATATTTTGGATTACAATGTTTCCGAATCCATCATCAGTTTAATTTGCTATATGTATTTGGAATACTTTAACCAATACCTATTGATGAATGCTCTGAGGGATTGAAGATTAATTCAAGATTTATCATGAGTCTTCATGCAAGAAAGTAGTGGAATAGAAATGTAAGAGAAGAAAAGGCGATGGCCCAATGTCTTCCATTGGCCGAAATAAGGCCCATTTTATAGAGGATTATGATAAAGAAATCAGGTATGAAATAAATATATCAAAGTTAGAAAGGAAACTAACATATCACAACAATTTTTTATTTCAAAATATACAAAATATATGATAGAATACCAAAAAAATAACCAGTTGACAGAAAATCGAGGCCTCTAATCTCATCAATCAGTATGCTTCATTGTCTTCAAATGAACATATCTAACATCCAGCTAGTCAGCCAGCTGCAGCCCCCTCAATGCTGCTGATTATCTACTATATGAGAAAAAGCTGATAGTTGCAGTCTTCCAATAAATTCATGCGGAATAACCACTAGCTATGCTTGTTTTCTTCTCTTTTAGTGAGGAGGAAATAGTAAGAACAATAACATTCAACACTCGCTCTCAAGCTGATTCGTAAGCATCCAACAAATCTTTTTTGTCTTTTTTTAAAATTTTTTTTGCACATGGGCTGTAGCCAAATTTTTTTATCTGGATGTCAGTAGTCCTATTCAAAAAAAGAAAGATATAAGACACAATATTTTTAATTTTGGGGTTTTTTAATGAAGCATCCATCCATCTCTACGTGTTTGGTCTGATTATGATAGATAGGATTGTCTTCTATACTAAGTGTAGCTTTACTATTATAATATGGTATATATGAATCTCAATATTTACCTAAAGTTTTATTAGGAATAGCCTAAACCAGATTAATTCATTAATCTCATTGGCAAATGTTGTTTGTTCGCTCTTTTTTTTTGCTATATATTTTTTTTACTTTTTCATGGTGCATGATTCACTCACACAGTTGCAATACTCTGACTATCCACTGTTGATTTTTCCCCATAAACATCAATCTAGATTTTTATAATTTTGGATTCTCTGTTGGTAAAGAATAACCTCCTTTCAGAGTTTTGTTTTGGGTATTTGAGCATTCTTATAAAAATGTTCATGTGTTCTTTACAAGAAGTAGGGCTGCAAATGAACCGAGTGTTTGACAAGCTACTCGTAACTTAGTTCAATAAAAGCTTGTTCATGTTCGTTTGATTAACTAATTGAACATGTTTGAATACCTGTATAAATTCTCAGTTGTTAAATGAATAAGCTTGAACACCACCTTATTTGATTCGTTTATGTTCGCGAACATTATCATTTGAAGCTTATGAACAAGCTCATTAAGAAGCTCAATAAATATTTTCTTTTAAAGTTCATATGTAAGATCGATTTAATGCTTATAAATAAAATCGATCAAAGCTTAATTTAAGCTTGTGAATAAGCCGAATTAAAACTTTATTTAAATTAAATTATATTTTAAATTATATTACATAAAACATGGTAAAGACTTATTTTTTCAGTTCATTTATATTACGTATTTACATGCTTATTTTACTTATACCTTTAGTAGATCATTTATTTAAAAGCTCATTGTTTTTGTAGGTTAAACAAGTAACTTATTTATAAGCTTGATAAACTTCTTTTGATTTGAAAAGAAATAGCTTAACATACTAATTATTCTTGTTCATAAGTCTTATTTTGTTAGAAAATAAATAACACGATAGCGCTAGTTTTAAGTTTCTCAATAAATATTGTTTTATTATAAATTAAGTAACTCAATAATTTACTCATTATATATTCGCTAACGACGCGATTATCATCATATGAAGCGAACGAGAACCAAACTCAATGAACTAAGTTGAACATAAACAAAAGCTCGAATAGTGCTCGAGCTTGGCTCGAGTTTTAATTTTATAAACAAGCTAACTCGAGCTCGAATTTTATAAACAATCTCATGCTTGCAAACAACCCTACTTGACTCAGCTCGGTTCGTTTGCAGCCCTAATAAGGAGCATACATGAATTACCTTACCAAAGTGACAACAATGCCTACATCTGGTTTTGCACAAGTGACATAGACGAGTTCTTTCATTAAAAATTATATCTTTATCATTTAGAGAGTTAGTGCTAACATTGCTCAATTTAATGTCATGAAATATTGGAGCATCAATAGGTTTGCATCCTGTTTAGCCATTTCTTGCAAGATGTCTAAAATATACTTTTTTTGAGATATGTGACCAAATTTTGAATTCTTCTGCCAATTTTTCTTCTTCGGTATAATCATCTCCAAATTATGATATCTCCTAATGATGATATTATCAAAATGACAATTAGGATAAGCACACTTAATATATTAGACTTACCGCTCCTTTTTTGCACTTGTAGAATAAGTTGTTATCATATTGAGCCTGTTTTAACCTTGTTACTAATAGTTTTTTTGAAACTTTAAAACGAGATTTGAAGTGATTATTTGTGCCATAAATGGATATTTCTCTTTTCAATTTCCAAACTGACCTTTTTTTTCCTAGAGTCGGTGTTCTTTAGAGGATTTATGCTGGCCTTTTTTTCAAAAATGCATTATTAATATCAACCTGGCGAACTTATCAACATTGATTGTTATTAAAAAAACTTAAATGTTGTTTAGTTTCTCCATAGATCCAAAATGTTTCAAAATGGTTGATCAGATAAGTTTGGGTAAACTTTTACAATCAGTTGATGGATTCATCAATCAATATTTCACAACGAAGAGCTCTTTACATTACATTGGGATGGAATTGTTGTCTTTGAATATCTTAACATGTTCTCTTTTTTTTTATGGGCTTTCGTCTGCTCTTCAAGTTTCTCTCTCTATTCTGGGTTATTGAGAGCTTCTATCGTCTTCAGAATTTTAATCTATTTTATGCTGTAGCCTAAGGCTTTTTTTTTTTTTTTTGGTTGAGAGGGATGGATGGTCATGTCTCACAAGTTACAACATTTGCTAAAGGATGCCAGTATAGGTGATAAGAAATATAAACTTATGTAGCAATATTTGTCATTTAGTGATTATAGGGATTAACTGTATGATCTATTTAAAGTTTGCAAATTAGATAATTATGTTGTGTTCAAGTATAAAAATATTACTTGTGTTGTGGCTAAATAATATTTAGGCTAAATAATGTTTTAACAGACATGCCTAGAAAAAAAGGATGCGAGGATTGCTTTTCTTTAAATGATTATTAATGTTTTTTTTTTGTAGTTTTAATTTAACTTTACTTTAGAATAATCCTATGATGACGTGCCTATATTAGTGTGATGTGTCCTCCATTCTTATGATTTTTTTTTTGTTTGGTTATCTCTTATCTCGACAGGCTTGATTGGTTGGATCGCATGCACAATTATTAGTTATGTATATATATTTTAAAGCAATAAAATTTTATAACCGGTCATTGAAATGTTACATGAGCAAGTAGTTGTAAAGAAATGCCAACATTAAAAAAAAAATACAATATGATAGACCCCATATGACATAAAAGTTATGTATTAATATCCATCTTTGATGAGAGAAGCAGGTACAAATTCAAACATTCGGTAAATTTGAAATGCTAAAGTCAATGTGCAACTTATTACATTATCTTGGAATCTAGTAAATCTCATATGTTGAATAAGCTTATTTTTTTCAATTCATGCCTCGATGAGAAAGCACAAATTGAAATATTTTTATCAACCAAACAAGTAAACTTCTAATATAATCATGATGGGATTGAATTTGAGTTAGAGTCATCAAAACCTCCCATATTAGTACATTTATTAGTAGCATTGGGGAATACACTACTAACATCATGAGAAGAGATAGTACTATTGTTTGACTCTCAATATGCTAACATAAATGTCTGATGTTACTTGAGATTGAGGAACATAGGGGAGATTGATATGTAAAAACCAGTAATGGCAATGGAAGGCACTAACTAAAGAACAAGTTTCCAAGGGAGTATTTATAGCATGATAAATATTTTTGATGAATTAAGGGAAAGGGAGCTTCTCTCCAAAAGTTGGAAGAATCCATTTGATCATATGATAAATATCTTATGAGATCTAATTATGATCAAATGAATATTCTTGAAAAGCAATAAAAGAAGATTTTCTCAATTATTGGTTTTACTTAAAGCAATCAGTATAATTGTGTTAAAAGAAATTTACAATATTTATAGAATGACTGCTATGGGCTCCAAAAATTTTGCTGTCCTGGACTTTTTTTTGTTTATTGTGTTAAGAGAACTTTGAGGGTCAAATTTTCAGAAGGTAGATTGAAATAGTAGATTAAACACTACCTCTTTTTTGTGAGGACTTTTTGATATGGGATTTGAGTTTTCCCATAGGCGCATAGACGCAAACCCCTATGGTTTATTACCTCTTTTAATAAC